ACTTACACCTGCAGAGGGTGCACTGCCCAACAACGGTTGAATGGCGTGTCCCTTAGCCAACTCCAGCAGCAGCTGGGTGGGGAGCTTGGGACCTGTGGTGCAGAGCCAGGGCCCCCGTGTGCAGAGAGGTGAACTGGTTTGCACAGGGGTGAACCTTCTGTGGGGGCATGCCGGACAGCGGGGGCACAGTTGCTCACCGTTGGTGCAGACCACGCTGGCGTCCTGTGTGTGCCTGCAGTTGCTCTTCAGCCAGCCCAGGGATTTGCAGTTGGCCAGCGAGGGCTCCGTCCCTGTACACTCCACCTCATCCAGCATGACGGGGCCCGTTCCTGTTGGTACAGCAGAGGTCAGAGGCTGGGGCTGCGGGGGAAGGCCCTGCCACCAGGGCCACTCCTCTTAGAGGCATTGGAAAGAGCAGTCACAGCGGCTACAGAGGGACCAGATGTCAGAGCCTGGCAGTCCCACGGCCCTGTCAGCCCCTCCCTGCTCCATGTTCCCCGCCTGGCCCTGTCTGCAGACAGGGCTCTCCCCAGGTCTAGTCACGGTGGAAATTCGCGTGGGGGTTGGGTTTATTACTGTAACATCGCACCATAACTCCGCCTTCATCCTTATAAGGTTTAACAGCTGCTTATCAGAGGCATCAATTCCTAGAGCAGGATGGATGCGCTGAATCCATCACTGAATCCATCACTGAATACAGCAGCACCTCCATAGCTGCCCACCCCCACACTGACCCACTCCTTAAAGTGACCTCACGCACCACATGTATGTGTCAGTATAGCAGGCCCCGTTCCTTTCCTGGCCACCTCTGTATGCTGACCATGTGTGACAGTCCCCTGGGCGGCCACCTCACAGCGTTCTACAGTGTTTGGATTATTTCTCTTCTTTTCAGAATCACAGTCACTGTGTCAGTGGAAACCTTCCTGCAAACAGAGTTTTCGTCTTTTTTTTTTTTTTTTGGAGACAAAGTCTCACTATCGCCCTCTGTAGAGTATCATGTCGTCACAGCTCACAGCAACCTCAAAGTCTCAGGCTCAAGCAATTTTCTTGCTTCAGCCTCCCAAGTAGCTGGGATTTCAGGTGTCTGCCACAATGCCTGGCTATTTTTTTGTTGTAGTTGTCACTGTTGTTTAGCTGGCCTGGGCTGGGTTCGAACCTGCCAGCCTCGGTGTATGTGGCCCATGCCGTAACCACTGAGCTATGAGAGCTGCCAAACAGAGTTTTCTTTTGAGGGTAAATGTTTCAAGAGGACAAATTCCCCAGAGTGGAGTTTCTGGGCTGCAGGGAACAAGTGCGCAGTGAACCTCTGGAATCCCCCTAGGGAGCCTGATCTGCAAAGCTTTGTCCTTGCCTTCTTGTCCCTGAAAATCCTGCAGGCTCAATTACTAAGCAGATATCCAATTTGCATGTCTTTGATGTCTGCCTGCTCTTAGTGGATTTGCCCCTTTTGAGGGTGGCTGCTACACAATGGGGACAGGGACAAGGACAGGGAAAGGGATGCGGACAGGACAGTGGCCCCTACCTTTCCCAAAGGCAGCCCTGCCCAGAGCCTCCGTGGCATTCTCAAATCCCAGGGCCCGGCAGACGACGCTGGCATCAGTCAGGTCCCACAAGTTGTCACACACGGTGCCCCACTGGCCCCTGTAGAAGATCTCCACACGGCCCTGATTGGCAGCACCCCCATCGGCCAGCCGCATGTCACCATCCTCCAAGCCTGTGGGCAAAGATCGAAGGATGAGGCCGGCCAGCTGCATCTACCCACACGCACTGCCCGGGTCGTGTGCCTGTGCTGGTGGCAGGAAAGTTGTCCCCAGCTGGGCTGACCTGCTGAGCTTATTTCCCAGAACTTTGCCCTCTGTGCATGGGGTGCTCACTAGGGAGGAAGGGAAATGGACACCCCTCAACACACACAGGGACCGAACCCACCTTTCCTCGGCTTTAAGATCTGTGCCCTTCACTCTATAGGTGGGAAAGAGGTAGAAAGAGCCCTCAGTTTTCCAGTTCCTGACCCTGGAGGGGCAGGAGGTCCATGCAGATTCCACCCGCCTACAGCTTGCGGGTGCTGGCCAGTGGGGCAACAGGCCCTCTGAGTCCCAGAAGCATGGTAGGATGCTGCCAGGAGGCACGCTTCTGGAACCTGGTCCCCTTCTGCCCCTGCCACGGTCAGGCAGGGGCCGGTGCCTGAGTTCTAGGGCTGTCTAGGCCAATGGGCAATACTCACTGGGGGCACCCTAGGCTTCCGTGGGGTCACCAGGGTGATCAAGGCCTCCTGGGGCTCACAGCATACAGGGCACAAGGAAAGGCACTTGGGACCCCTGGAGAGTGTGACCTGTGCTCAGATGTTGCTATCTCGTGACACCCCCAGCCATTGTCTGGTTTGATCAGACTTCCAGTTCCCATGGGCTGGTATGGAGAATTCCTTGACATGCTCTCAATAATCTGTACCTCATCTGAGCCCAGGTGAGCCCCAATCCCATGTAGGCCCTAGGAGCCATCACCACTGGGGTGTCCAGGGTTTCACTGGGAGAGAAGATGCAGCTGACCCTGGGACCAGGCACCCAGCAGGTCAGAGAAGACCCAGCTGACCCTGGGGACCAGGCACCCAGCAGGTCAGAGAAGACCCAGCTGACCCTGGGGACCAGGCACCCAGCAGGTCACCTCCTTTCCTTCCTCATTTACTGCAGGGCAAGCGTTAACCCCAGAGCGAGTGTGCAGCAGCCTCACAGACTTGCTTTTGGCATTTCCTGGTGGCTCCACTCACCTTGAGTCCCTATAACCAGCAGCCACATCCAGAGGAGTCCTGGGAGGGCCATGGCCGTGCCAGGAAGCTCTGACCCTGCAGCAGAAGGAAGCAGCAGATTAAGACACGGGGGCAGGGTGGCCCCAGCCCGAGGTGCTGGTCTGCCATGGTCCTTCACTTAGGCTTGAGGATGGCCCACTGTGAGGCAGGCGGGCCCCCTCTCTTGCACAGCCAACTATGATCATGGGCGAATGTGATGAACACTGTGGATATGGAAGCCCTGGTGTCATAGGTGCTCCTGGCAGGGGCCCCTCACCTGGTCTGCAGGGCGGCCTTCAAAGGAAGGGGTGGCTGTCTCCTGGAAGAGGAGCCAAGAGGTGAGGGTGGAAGCTCCGGGCAGCCTGGTAAAGGCTGGGCTTTATCTTCAAGA